CAAGCTTTCAAGTTTACAAAGAGCTCTTCTTCAGGTCTGAGAAAGGTACTCAGCATGTCACAGCTGGACACAAGGTACCAAGCTCAAGAGCGTGTCAAGTTTGTCCAATAAAAGATATTACCTCACCCACCTCGTCACTCTCATACACATATTTAGGCTTTATGTAAACATACAGGTCACCTGCTTAAGTGCTTTGGTCAATTGGGCCCATAGTTAAGATTCATAGAAATATATGGCCAGTCATTTTAAAACTGCTGTTAATTACTAGTTTACAACAGCTATACCGCAAAATTTCATGTTAACGGCAGTTTGGTAAAGGTAATCATTTTTGCAAACACATACCATATGCCTGATAGAAACAGTTACAGTGCATGTGACTAAGTAGTGGGTTTTGGACCACGTAGGGCAGTTATGGCCTCTCATATAATCCCGCTGCTATTCTTGCACATACAATCTACGTTCTAAATATTCTCAGTAGGATAGTTTGGTTGAAACTCAGTCCCCTAAAATTTATCATGCATGCACAGAAATTAAGATTTTCTCATTATTTGTTGGCTTTCCACTGCCCCCATATAATCCAACAAAATGGACTAATCTGTAAAAAGGTAAAACCATCTGTTTAGTTCTAGTATCATAAAATGCACATTTTCAGTATCTTATCCATTATAAAAATATTAGCTCTCAGCCTTGTTATGATCATATTTTTATACTCCTGCCTTTATAACGAAAACACTGATTCAAGCCTAAACATTGTAGAATGATGCAAATCAAACTACTATAATTTCAGGAGGTTAGGGTGGAGCTTACTCACATAATAGATTTTTAATTTATTCCCAAATTCAGAATTTAGCAGCAAGGGAATGTTTTTGCCCAATTTTTAATGCTTTCCTATCTGTAATGAAAATTCTGCTTCCCAGCAGAGTTTGGAGCCTACAACATAAGAGACGCTCAACAATGTACATAGATATGTAACCGAATCGTCTTAAAATTGAAATAGTCACCACTTAATCAGAAGTTTTATAAAAGAGTGAAAATTATTTAAAATCCTACAGAAACATGGCATTTTTTAGGAGCTGATTCTCAAACCTCTGGCCTTGATCCAGCAAAGTACTTAAGCATGTGCTTAATTTTATGCACGAATTTTATGGATATCACAAATGCAAACGTGTCAGGGGGAGTGCTCATTAATTTCAAGTTAAACATGCGACTATGTGCCTTTGCTGGATCAGGGTCAGAGTGCTCAGCACCTTGTAGGTTTGAGCACTTGGGCCCTCACCAAGCAAAGCATTTAACCACATGAGCAGACTCACTGGACTACTCACATGCTTACATTTACACGTGCTTAAAGTACCTTCCTGAAAAGGCCTTACAGAGCAATATTGTATTAGCTATAAAATTTGAAGCCGCATATAATTAACACACAGCTTGTTCAACAATGTTATCTGTTGACATTAACTGTTTCTTAAAGCTTAGGGGATGCCTTGTTCTAAGAATTCACTTTTAAAAAGCACATAAAAAAAAGTTTTTAAAAGCTGCTTTGAGAGTATGAAAAGTGATATAACCAAGCCTCATTATGTTCTTCATTTCTTCCTCTGACATCTTTTTACTGACATCTAGAGAGAAAAGAAAAAAACAAACAAACATCAATCTATTCAAATAAGAATCAATGCATTTTATTCTCTCTCTTAAAGAAGCTGGAGAAAGCCACAATCAAACTTCTGTATACAGACATCACTGAAGTTCCTTAAATTTCAGATCCAGATCCAAGCTTTGCTGTTTAAGCCCTCTTTTCCATGGAAAATAAAATAATCAGTCACTTCCCAAATAGAGCTAGTTTTATTATTTTAGACTGCAGATTATGTGAAAGTCCAACCCTGAAAGATCCCTGAGAGCTATCATTTCCATCCACAGGATATTTTCCACACTCAGTGAGGTCACTCCATTTGTGATATGCAATCTTAAAAAATGCGATCTATCCCAAACAGCCATAAAAACAGGGAAAAACATCAGATACTTACATGCAAATTTAGCAAAGACATGTTAATCCAGGGGGAAAAAAAAGTAAAAGCACGTTTCTGTAGCAGTGCTGGGATACTGTTTAGTAACTAAACTAACCAAGCAAAAAATGTCACAGCAACACTTCATAATGACCATTCTGCTACTGCTGGCTTTTCATTGTTACTATATTTAAATCCTCACTGTGGTCGGAAACATTATTTTATGTATCTGGCACAATATGCTTTTTATAATTTCTTACAGCTTCGTGTTAAGGAAGTTTCAAAGTTGCAAAATGTATTTTATTCTTTCCTAAAGGGAAAGGATATTTAAAAACAAAATTGTCTTTTTTTTTTAACCTGAAAGCTCTACTGCTTTTGGAAACAGCTTGTCATGCATGAATTTCTGCTGGACCAAAGACATTCACTAATAAAATTACTATTGTTATAAGTTACTGCATGGCTGACAGCTGTAGTTGAGATGTGACATACTAATGCAGAATGCATCTGTGCTCACAGGAAGAACTCCAGACTTGCCCTGGCGAGCAGGGATGAATGTAGAATTCATGTACAGAAAATTGGTGCACTAGATAAGAAGTCAAGATAGATACTTTCCATCTGTAACAGACTTCTTCTGTCGGTGACCTATCCCCCACCCATTCAGAAGAGTTAATTTGACCTGCCTTTTTAAGAGCAAAGTTCACAACTCATTTAACTCATGTAAAGGTTTGCTTTTAAAACTGTATTTCATTGGTGTGCTGACTTTTAAAACTTCAAAGTGTAAAACCCAGAATCAGTGTTTGCTTTAGAAATCCACTCTCCATGCTTCTGCCCTTTCTTACATTTCTATCCTCAACTTCTCCTATAACACCTTCCAATCTCTGTGTTCCATTCAAGCTTTCCTCCTGACCATTCTCTTCATTCACTCCCAACTCTGTGCCCTCTTCCTCACTGCCTTTTCAATGCTTGAAGCAGACTTCCAGTTAACATAATCCAAGCTTCGTCACGGTCTTCCAAAATACTTCGAAACCACCACAGATTGCTTGACGCATTCCAGTTATAATAGCCATAAAAGTTTGCTTTTCCCCACTTGGAACTCAAGGGTGGGATTTTCCTAAAGCACTCATCATTGGCCTAACTACTCCCACTGAAGTTAATTGGAATTCTACCACTGACTTCAATGGGAGCAGTTAGGGTAATAATGAGTGGTTCTGAAAACATCCTTAGACTCTAGGTCACAACTGTTTATGTTTAAAACTCTTACCAATTCACAAGAATGTTTCCTACAAGCTGATCTTTAGTATTCCATATGGTGCCACAATGCTGGAAATCACTTACACTCCCAAGACAGAAAATTAGTACAGCAAAGTGACAAGGGAGGTCTCAAAAGAGTTGCTTATAACTGACAGGAAGAACACAGACGTGATGACATCTGGTCTTAATTATTAAAAGTTGGTTAGTTGACAGATATTGACTTCAGAATGGTACAGGAACCTCTGCTGAATGGTCCGGTGTAAAAGGGCTGAAGACAGTTATAGATCAGAGTGATCAGAATGTTATGGCTCTGCATGGTTTTCTTTCTTTCTTTCAAACCCACCATGTTCTGAGATTTATCTTTCGCCTTGTTTCCTACAATTTATTTGTAAAGCAGTGAACAAATATAAACTATGATCAGATTAACATGGATTATATTGTACGTGTGTATGAATTATTTCTTTATTTCATTGTCATGTCAGTCCTTCCCATCCCAACTTCCTTACACAGCAAAACAAAAGTTGGGGCACCCAAGACTGGAATTTTAAAAAGCATCTAAATGACTTAGGCGCACAATTTCAATTAAAAATCAATGGGATTTGTGCTCCTAGAGTAGGACTGGGGGAAGTTTATTTACTGAAAAATGCAGAATGTGTGTTAAGTTTGCTTAACACTTTTGACTGAACTGAAAAAAAATCAAAACATTTTGGTAATGTCAAAACAAAATGTTTAATTTCCACTCGAAAAATTGTTTTGATTTTAGGCATTGCAGAAAAGAGCTGGATCCACAAAATGGCTGGGGAGGAAAAGGTCCTTCTGCCTCACTTGGACACTTTAGCCAAGTGGCTCACATGGGAGACTGGGTTCAATTTCCCTCTGTGCCTGATGCGGTGACCTTGAGTCTCCCCCATTACAGAAGAGCACCCTAGCCACTAGGTTATGGGATATTCTGGTCTGCAGCTTTCTCAGTCTCTCCTGTTGAAGCTATTCCACTGTTTATACAATACATGAATAATCAATGAGCCAGAGAGAAAGACTATTGGCTGGTGGTTAGGGCACCCCCCTCCCCTTTTGCTTATTTGGATTTATTGAGATTTGGTCATTAGGCTTCTTTGAAAATCTCAGTCTTTGTCTTTAAGTAAACATTTGGCAACTTATTTTGGTAAGAAGCTATGATTCTTGGAAACAAACAGTGAAAGAAACATAGATTTTTTAGCAGATTTATCACACAACTTTTCAGTGATCCTATAATTTTTCAAGAAGGTGTAGAGGTGTATATACAGGGAAGCACTATGGGGGCACGTCTACACAGGGATAAGAGACTCACAGGCCAACCGCGGCTGGCCCAGGTCAGCTGACTCAGGCTTGTGGGCTAAAAATTTCTGTGTAGCTGTTCAGGCTCAGGCTGGAATCCAAGCTCTGGGATCCTGTGAGGGTGGAAGTTCCCAGAGTTCAGGCTCCAGCCTGAGCCCAAACGTCTACACAGCAATTTTTTAGTCCTGGAGCCCGAACCAGCTGACCCAGACCAGCCAAGGGCTTTTTATCTCTGTGTAGACATACCCCAAGTGCCACAGCTTATCTAAAACTCAGCATACTTCTATGAATACAGAAAACACAACGAACATTTGTTTCATACATCAATTTATTATGCTATATTAGTTTTGTTATTTATTGCAATTACAACAAAAACAACGCAGGAATTCTGGTTGCAAAGATAACATGCCCTAAGCAGCTCTCACATTATGTGTTTTGACCAGGGCTAATAAGGAAACCTTAAGAAGCTGCTCTAGTCTGATTTTATACAACATGTAAATCTCAGAAATGTAACACACTCACTGAATCCAAAAATCCTGCTTCAAAATCCTCATTAGCTGACGGACTAAATAAACCAACAACAAAAAAACTCAGGGGACAAGGGTTAGCTTTAGAACAATAGTAACTACAAAAATAATTATGTACCAAAATATATGTTTTAGTTTCAAATCTTTATTTTCTTGCTTTAGTTTTTGCACTAAAGAAAGCAGACATGGTTTTCATTCCAGTCTTGTCAACTTTGGCCAGAGCTTTCTGAGCGGCAGACATCTTGCTAGTCGTCTGTTAAAGAAATGAGGTAAAAAGAGAAAAAAAGAAAAATTACTGAGCAAATCTACAGGAGGGGATGCTAATCTACAAACTTATACATACTGAAATCAATTAAAGGTTTGCTTGGTTTCTTAGTCTACAGTATGCCACAGGGAAAGATGATGTGGGATAAAATTGAAGGAAAAAAAACTTACAATACAATGTTGAGATTTTTCAATAGAAAATAGTTGTCATGAATTATCTAACCACAAAGACAGAGAATCTGTTAAAAGAACAAGGAAGCAAAATATCTCTCCCTCCTGCAGAATGAGGTATCCTAACTCAAATGCTTACATTGGATAATCCTGGAGTGTACATTAACAGGAATAATGCATGCAACATAACAGATGCATACTGTACCCTGTGACTCAATCTCATGATTATGTTGTCAGCAGGCTGAATTACAGCCTTGCATTACAGATAATGAATAATTCACACTGATTTACTATCGAAATCTTTTAGAACAGTGAAATAAAGGGAAAGAGAGGAAAGGACACGAACGATGAAAGAGGTAACCAAGATTTGAAAAGCATGTTGAGGCCACTGGGACAGCTTCCTAGAGACTGTTACACCTAACACACATTTTATGTGCCACATTTTATAGAGCTGACCTCTTTCCTTTCTTACATTTTAAAATAGTATGCTTTACATCTCTAGCCATTTTCCCTATTAAGAAATCTTTGCATTGACCTTTCCTTCTGATAGTCCTCCTACTGTAGGACTTCACAATTTCACTCAATTTGGGTTCAGCTATGATGTTATGGACAGGATAATGATATGCAACCAACAGTAAGACTGTCTGCATTACTTACAGTGCAAACAAAAACACTGCCAAAGTATTTTAAAAGTGCAGTACACTGAACAGAACCCACGAGCCAATTCATCCTTCCCAGATGCTCTTAACTACATATTTTGTTATTTCAGAAGTAAATCAAATTTAATATTAAAGCTTTCTTCAGACTTTTTTTGTATCTTTGTGCCAAGATTCAAAACTGCATGTACACTGTATGGGAGTGGGGAAAAAATGGAGCTTTTGAGTCATTTATCACAAGAATTTAGGGGCACTCCTGTACCTTCTTTTAAGGCTGTGGAACGCCCCCTTGGAATGACAAAATGGTAGACTCCATTGGACTTCCCTGAAAACTTGCATTGAAGCTGGTAAATTAGGCAGCTTGGTATTGATTTACTTTATTAACCCACACAAACAACTGCATCATACAAAATCTGTGGATAAATTAAGACCTGTTTGAAAATGTCTGGGAATTTAAATCAATGTTGCCTCCCTTGTCCCTTTTTAAAATAATACAATAGCAAACTAATTGCACTACCACTTTCCATAATAAATAAATAAATAATAATAATCCTTTACATTGCTGTAGTAGCTTTCATCCAAGGGGCTCAGAAAGCTTCATAAACATTCACTAAGCCTTATAACATTTGTTAAGTAAGTGGCTATCTAAGGCCCACCACTAAAACCCAGTCACCTTTGCAGTTATTTAACATTACACTGCAACACTACACAACAGTTTAGGATGGGAAATTAAGACTTATCATGTCAAATGGAAACTGCAGGTAGAGTTTAAAGAAGCAGAATGTAATTGCTTTCACTAAATTTTTTCCAGGACTCTTGACTCAACACTTCTATGGTACCTCTTATGAAATGTGCCATGATAAATGGTGATAATATATGGTCACAACCTTCATTTTAAGCCTTTTTGATTGCTTCAAAATTTTCTGATCTGCCTTATTCACAAACAATTAAGTTTCTCAAAAAACTATTGACTGCTTTAGAAGATGTACCAGGGGGTAAAATACCAGGAAGAGTAAAAGGACAGTGCTGCCGTGAGAACAAATGGATATAAACTGACCAAGAGTAAATTTAGGCTGGAAATTAGAAGAAGGTTCCTAACCATCAGAGGAGTGAGGTTCGGGAACAGCCTTCCACCTGGAGTAGCAGAAACAAGGAACCTAACTGGTTTCAAGATGGAGCTTGATAAGTTTATGAACAGGATTATATGATGGGGTTGTCTGAGATAGCAGGGAACTGGACTCAATGACCCAGGAAGTCACTTTCAGTCTTTGGTTCTTATCAAGGTGAACCCACCTACAATACAGTATATTGATTTTTATTCAGAACATGTTGAATGTACTTTCCGAAAACATCTATTTTATATTTGCTTTTCTGACTAAGAGGCAAATTGCAAAAAAGGGGGCTCCTGTATAACTATTTGACCAGTATTAAAACACGCTTTAACAAAATGTGAGCATGCACACACATAAAGCACATGTACCTTTTTGTTCTTGAGATCACTGCTATTAAACTTAGTATAGTCTTCTTCTGCTTCCACAGGTGCATCTGAGAATTTCCTTTTCTGAAATGTTAGAGTGATGAAGTTGCTCTGTCAACCACTACTGTGATGTACACACATTGAACGTTAACGCTGAAAAGGCCTGCGGGCTTTCTGGTGTAAGCTAGACACTGAAATGGCACAGGCAACTGAACAAGTAATATGCAATATTCATAACAGTCTCCTCAAGAAACAGGAGGATAAACAGTCTCTCTTCACTATTCAGAGAAGTTTGGTTAGTTTTGTAGGAAACACATTTTCTTCTCTTTTGCCCACAGAAGACTGATTTATAGAATCACTTACATACACATCTGAATTTCCATCCTTTGCCTTTAGTTTTTAATTCAGAGACTATGTGACTCATCTTTATGGATTAGTGCTAGAAAGTATTATCTACTGGCCAAGGAACAGGGGACAAAATTCAAGTCCTCATAGTCTCTTGGGACTGGAAAGCACCAAGCAATCCTACATTGGGAACAATGTCTAATCTGTTTGTTGCATACAACCTCTCTTGGGATCCTTACCTTCCACAATCTGGTAACGTTCATATGTTGACTTGTTTGACATACACTGACTTGTTTTTGCTCAATGCTCTCCAATTTTAGTTCAGTGACAATCTAAGAGCTTAACTGTTCAAGTTGCTAGCTAGCCTTAACTACTATTGAAGTCAATGGAACTCAAGGGAGTTCAGCACTTGACATGATCAGGCCTTAAGAGTGCATGTTTTTTCCCTAAGCTGTGTGTATTTGGCATTTCACAAATGTAATGAGTGCTTTTTTTTTTTTTTTTTAATTTTCAGAGTCAATTACCATTGCCTTAATATCCTGTGAAATCTGAGCTGTGGCCTTTCTAGTTTCTGTGCCAGAGTGAGTGATACTGCAAGTAACTTGAATGATAACCATTCCATTTTAAATCCCTATTTTTCACTCTATTTATTGGCACTTGTGATCTCTCTCACTCTGGCACAAAAACCAGGTCTGCATCTTAGATTTCTCAGGCCCTTAGGACCAGATCCAACAGCAGCTTTTTTTTTTAGTTCAATTGGAGTTGGAGCAGGCCCTTTGGGAGGTAGTTTTCTTAAATGCTGCACTATAAGAACATTTTTAAATGACAGCCTAACAATAAAAGATGATGTCCCTCTTTTGGAATCTTCATGTTTTTAACTTTCAGTAAAACTTTTGCAGTTCAGCTCTAAGTGATCTTAAGTATTTTGCGTGGCTATGTATTATGATCTGTCAGTACCAGACTTCCTACCCTGAAAAGATATAGTGATTACAATGCAAGTTTGGTGGTTACAATTAATGGGATGGTTGGCATATGTCACATGAAGAATTCAGACTTCCTCAAAAAATCTTGTAATGGAAGAGTAAGCTTTGTAATATCCCCCAGCTAGTGGACATTTGTAGCTAAACTCTAAGGCTCCTCTGTCTCTCTCCCTTCGGACATTTATTTTAGATTATTATTTAACAAACAATTACTTTGTACTAGTAAGACACATACATCAGATCTGTCTTGATTTGTAGGAACCATACATTTTGTCCTTACAAACACCTGCTTTCACATAAAAGAAATTTTAAAATAAGCTAAAACAGAAGGTTTAAAGCAAATCAGATTTCACCTAATTTATGGCTTGGTCCTCTGAAGCAGTGATATAAAACATATTAAAGTAGCATTTTAGGCCCTGAACCTACAAAGATTTACACATGTGCTCAACACACCGTGAGCAGCCATGTGGAAGTCAATGGGACCGCAGACATTATTTCACAGTCAAACTATTGAACAAAATTCTAAAAATGGCTTTAGCTGTAATCACACTGCTGATTATTTTTAGAAGTCACTAGACCTTTCTAAAAACAGATTCTCAGCACTATCCAAACAGCATAATAGACATTCATACATATTGTATAATCCACATCACAAGAACGCTCAACAGAGTTAGTGTAACACCTAATGAATATCACTCGGCTCAAGACAGAATCAAAGGAATAAATTGTGGCCACAGTTACTTCCATGTGGTTGGATAGGTGTAACGTTTATGAAAAAGACATGAGGTCATATAGTTCCATCAACCTACCAACAAGAGAGGCTCAAATTTTTTGATTTTTCATTATAAAACAGTAAAAAAATATTGACAAAAATTGTTCCTGGTTTTTGACTAGCTACAAAGATGACTGAAATTTTGATGAATAAAAAATAGAAAAATATTTGGCAACATTTTTGTGATCCACCTCCCCCTATATTTCTGATCAGTGCTACTACAATGCAGGTTTGCTCCTTACTGCGGATTTTTTAATGCTTTGTCCAGTCTAGTTTTAATTGCCTCAAACATTTGAGAGAGACTAATCCACAACAAAACATATCTATCAAGAAGTTTTATTGTTATTCTATCTTAAAATTTTCCCTATCTTACTATTTTCCTACCTTTAGCGGGGGGTCTGCTTCTGGACTTGTAAGTTCTGGAAGCCTTCAGAATAAAAGATTTTAAGTTACAGTTTTCATATAGAAACAAATTAATATATTGGAATAAATCTTTTGAATATGTTATCTTCAAATTACATTACTCTCCCACAAAGAGGGCATCAATGCTAATCCCATCAGTCACCCTCAAAATATTTTCCACTTCATTTCATATTACTTTTATGACACACTAACGATGAGAGCCAAGTTTTCGAAAGAAGTGGCTAGCGGGGTGCCCATTAGGTTTAATCATCTTAGGTGACAACTGAAAGGGGCCTGAGTTTCAGAAAGTGTTGAGCAAACACCCTCTGAAAATCGGTCCCCTTTAATGGTGTCAAGTCAGACACTCAAAACTGAGGAAAACCCAAATTACTAGTTACTTCTGAAAAGTTTGGCTATGATCTGTGAAAAGATATTTTATGGACATTTTACACTTCTGAAGGGTAAACTCCTAGTACATTCCTAGGCCCTGATCCTACAATATGTTGCATGCAGACTGCACATGCACAGAGCCCCAGCAAAGCACCAGGGGATGCCACAGTCTTCTTGCAAACAATGAAGTGCAAGATCAGGGCCCTAATCCAGGATTACCTTCTGAATTCACCTAAGACACAATATAGGTTAGAGTTTAAATTAAGCCCCAGAAAAATTGTGTTGGGATGGAGATAGCAGCTTATTGAGTGAGAATGGAGAGGCAGTGTAGCTTAATAGCTAGAGCACTACAGTGGAACCCAGGAGTTCTAGGTCCTATTCCTGGCACTGCAACTAGCCCACTGGGTGACTTGGGTAAGTAACTTCACCTCTCTCTGTCTCAGCATCTCCTCTATAAAATGGTGATAACAACAACGACCTTTGTAAAGCACTTTGAGATGAATGGATTAAAAGTGCTATGAAGGGCTAGGTATTATTATCATAATTATTAGTATATTTCTACTAGCAAAACATGCTGTTTACATTCACAACGCCAACCTAGATTTAATAAAGAGAGCTCCACTCCTCCTAAGAATGGCCATGCTGGGTCAGAACAATGGTCCATCTAGCCCAGTATCCTGTTTTTCGACAGTGGCCAGCGACAGATGCTTCAGAGAGAATGAACAAAACAGGGAAATTATTGAGTAATCCATCCTGTCAACCAGTCCTGGCTTCTGGCAGTCAGAGGTTTAGAGGCACCCAGAGCATGGGGAGGCATCCTTGACCATCCTGGCGAATATCTATTGATGAACTTATCCCCCACGAACATACCTAATTCTTTTTTGAACCTGGTTATAGCTTTGACATTCACAAAATCACATGGCAAACAATTCCAAAGGTTGACTGTGCGTTGTGTGAAGAAGTACTTCCTTTTGTTTGTTTTAAACTTGCTGCCTATTAATTTCATTTGGTTACCCTGGGTTCTTGTGTAATGTGAAGGGGTAAATAACACTTAATCACTTTCTCCAAACCCTCCATGATTTTATAGATCTCTATCATATCCCCCTTAGCCATCTGTCTTCTAAGCTGAACAGTCCCAGTCTTTTTTTAATCTCTCCTCATATGGAAGCTCTTCCATACCCCTAATCAATTTTATTGCCCTTCCCTGTACTTTTTTCCAATTCTAATATCTTTTTTGAGATAGAGTGACCAGAACTGCACATAGTGTTCAAGGTATGGGCATACCAGGTATTTATATAGTGACATGATATTTTCTATCCCTTTCCTAATGGTTCCTACCACTGTTAGCTTTTTGACTGCTGCTGCACTTCAGCAGATGTTTTCAGAGCACTATCCATGATGACGCCAAGATCTCTTTCTGAGTAGTGACAGCTAATTTAGACCCCATCATTTTGTACGTATAGTTGGGATTATGTTTTCCAATATGCATTACTGTGCACTTATCAACACTGAATTTCATCTGCTATTTTGTTGCCCACACACCCAGTTTTCTGAGATCCTTTTGTAACTCTTCCCAGTCAGCTTTGAACTTAACTATCTTAAGTAATTTTGTATTGTCTGCAAATTTTGCCACATCACTGTTTACCCTCATTTCCTGATCATTTATGAGTATGTTGAACTACACTGGTGCCAGAATAGATCCTTGGGGGACCCGCTATTTACTTCTCACTATAGTGACAATCGACCATTCATTCGTACCCTTTGTTTCCTATCTTTTAACCAGTTACTAATCCATTGAAGAACTTTCCTCTTATCCCATGCCTGAAGAACCTTTGGTGAGGGACCTTGTTTCAAAGTCTTTCTAAAAGTCCAAGTACACTATGTCCACTGGATCACCTTTGCCCACATTTGTCGATACCTTCAAAGAATTCTAATAGGCATGATTTCTCTTTACAAAAGCTGTGTTGATTCTTCCCCAATATATCATGTTCATCTATGTATCTGACAATTCTGTTCTTTGCTATTGTTGGCACTGAAGTTAGGCTTACTGGACTGTAATTGCCATGATTGCCTCTGGAGATTTAAAAAAAAAAATTGGCATTACATTAGCTGTCCTCCAGTCATCTGGTACAGAGGCTGATTTAAGTGATAGGTTACATACCATAGTTAATTGTTCAACAATTTCAGATCTGAGTTCGTCCAGAGCTCTTGGGTGAATACCATTTGGTCCTGTTACTTATTACTGTTTAGTTTATCAATTTGTTCCAGAACTTCCTCTACTGACACCTCAATTTGGAACAGTTCCTCAGATCTGTCAACTAAAAAGAACGGGTCAGGTGTGGGAATCTCCCTCACATCTATGCGATGAAGACTGATGCAAAGAATTCATTTAGGTTCTCGGCAATGGCTTTGTCTTCCTTAAGTGCTCCTTTAGCACCTTGATAACTCATTGGCCCCCCAATTGTTTGGCAGGCTTCCTGTTTCTGATAAACAGCAAAACATTTTTTTAAAGTAAGTTTTTGTGTCTTTTGCTAATTGCTTTTCAAATTCTTTTTTGGCCTGCCTACTTATACTTCTACATTTGACTTGCCAGAGTTTATGTTCCTTTCTATTTTCTTCAGTAGGATTTGACATTTAATAAGTGACAAAAATATCTCTATCATTCACTGTAACTTAATGGTCAAAGTTACAGTATTCAATAGAAAAGGTCATTTGCAGAGCAATGTGTGTCATATAAAGCTAACAAATAATTAAAACAATACTTACTGTAAGTACTTAGATAGCTCAGCACTCAGATGTTCAGGAATATACTCTGATATTAAACCATGGGCATATCGTACATAGTCATCTGAAAGTTAAAAAAAAAAAGAAGTGATTTGGGGAAGAGAGAGTGCATCCATGTTATACAGTCACAGGACTTCTTTCCAATCCAGGCTCTTGTATGTCACTATAACCCAGGATGATGAGCTAATGCTAAGAAACTACTAACAGACACGTGATCTTTCTCTTTGTTGAGTAGTTTATGTTATATGACACTTGTAGGTTTAATTAAAAAGCAAGGAGTTGCTATGCTTACTTTGTCAGCACAGATGTTATTAATCTCTGTGGCATGTACTTTACAAAACCTGTTTGCTTTCTGAGAACACTAAATATAATGTATTTTTTCTGCACAATTAATTTTAAAAAAATGCTGCAGAAGTAAAAAGCTGACTCAACAAAATGTGTAATCATTAATTTTAAAGCATCTGGATCCTACAATTATTTGGCAAGAGTTTCAGTACTAAAATATATTTCTGGCTTCAACTGAAAACAATTAGATGAGACAATGAGTCTATTTCAAAGCCTTGTACTTAATGTCAGTATTTTATGAAAAATGCCAAGGCATATCTAAACATCACTGGCAAGACAGGATAATTATCTGTGGAAATATGAACTACTAGAAGCTGTTTTCAGGACAGGGAACTCTTGCTATAAAAGTTTTTCTGGAAATCAAACCTTTGGCAACATGAAGTCCTAAAACATCTCTTTTTCTGTCCCCCTCCCCACAAACAAGGCTTAGATTCTCCAAACTCTTCTTGATGTCAATGGGGCTATTAGAGAGTAACTTTACTCACATGCATAAATGTTTGCACAAGCAGACCCCAAGCCAATATCTTGCCTCTTAATTAGCCTTAAAATAGCCAAGCACTTCAGCCCCACCCCCACTCTCCCCAGAACTATATGGAAGCATTTGGTAAACCAGCTCCCAGAGTAGCAAAGATGTATTTCTCCTGTGTCAGAGATGGTTTGTTACACACAGTTACATGAAGTTTTGTAATAGCACGAAGCAAATTGGTGCCAAAACAGATAAAATTAATAAACTGGCCCCAGTGTGCACATTTTAGCTATACTGGCACCAGTTTCCTGTGTGCTTTACAACAAAAAAAAGCAGATTTGTTTCTCAAGTATTTCCTCCTTCCTTAACCCCCTTTGGCATCCAAAACCATAAAGGAGCGGTCCAGATCCAACACACTGATTCTGAACTTCACCCTTATACCCAATCTATACCTAAACAGAGATGTTCTTGTTATCTTGCTCTTCTTTTTATGGCACTGAATTGTTAGGTCAAGTCAGTTACTACAGCAATTCTTCTCTTCTGTCAGACCCAGATATGAGGCTGCATCACCCCCACCCTCCAGAAATCTTCACTGGCTTCCTTATTTATTTAAAAATCCAATACAGAGTTTTCCAAGGAGTTCCTGCTGCCACCCTAACCCATACTCTAACTCTTAACCTGCCACCATCTTTTCCGTTTATTCAGGCCATTTGCTTCTTTTCTCAAATGTCAGAGAATTTTGTATATCCCTTCCTTGTCTTCTCCCACACTGCTCTCACCATATGAAATAGCCTCCCTAATATATATATATAGCCTCCCTAATATATATATAGCCTTCCTAATAGCAAATCTCATCTCAAATCCCATCTCTTCTCCCTGGGTTATATGACTCCCAACCTTCCTCTCTAATAAAACATTCAGATCCTAAATGCTAATCCTTCCTTGTTTCCCGGGTACTCATTCTCCCATTGGATGCCCTACAACACTTCTGCCTTACCAACAGATGCTACTTGGCGGTTATTACTGTAATCTACACAGCTGCATTTACAGGTAGACAGTGAAGATTTCTGCCATACTCTTGAATCAACAACTGTATGCAAAAATAAATTGCACTCTCTTATCACTGAATGATGATAAAAAATAAGTGTTGAGTAAGTTCCCTTTGACTTTCTGCCATTCCCTTTGCTACATACAGTAGTTAGAGAGACTTTAGAACCTCCTCCAAAACTGATCTACCTTTAACTCACAATATTCCCTCCTTCAATGTAGTTCTTTTAAATCTAGACCCCTTTCAATGGCAAAACTATAATAAAGAATATACACACCTTCCTGTAAGGTAGGAGGATACAAGAGAAAACATTGTAGATTGAGACTAACAATAAATTTACCAAAGATAACGGTTAAATATAGTAAAGATGGACCTGATCTGACAGTTGCAATTTCCTTTTATTTATTTAATGTTTTTGGAAGTAATAAAAAGTTACTGTAAAGGCACGTAAGTCTCTCAGCACCACCTCCTTTTTGAAACTACATATTATTTGCACCCCCTATAAAACTGTCTAGATGGCTCTTAAATCTCATTTATGCTTTTTCCTTTGATATCATTACTTGATAACTCGTTTTCCACATACTCAGTACTCAGAGTTCAAGAAGCCTGCCACGATTACCTGCTCCTTGTTCCCTTATTTTTAGATTGCATGCAGGCTTCTGAACCTCCTAGTAAAGTGAATCATCTCCTTTGCTTAATTTGCTCTAATTACTTCCTGAATTTGAAATTTCTTCTCTTAAAATTTTGATATTTTTCTTCATCATAGTGCATATTCTGAAGGGCATATCTAGGATATTTCATAATCCAACCCCTCTGTGACACTGTCCTCAGGAAAAAAGGTGATCAAAATAATGGTGAAACTTTACAACTTAATGATTATGGTAATAACACTAACACTTTGGGTGGGGTTTTCAAAATCACCTAAATGATTTAGGAACACAAGTCGTAGTGACTTTCAGTAGGACTTGTGCGCACAAAGGCACTTTTGAAAATCCCCCTTTATATTGTGTGTATTCAATATATTATTAAATCATAATTTATATGATGTGAGTATATATAATATAACTATGCCTATACATACTGTATAGAGATAATTCATATCTATTATACAAGATAACACAAGATGCACATTCTCTCTCTCTCTGCATAATCATTGCACAGGAATATGATCCCAACTTGAGTATTTGTTCTCTGAGCACATCAATGAATAGGGATGGTTTGCTGAATTGGCGCCTCAATTAGATCTCACTAGAAGCTATTCAGAACCTTTCACCCTGTACATTTGGTGCATTATACAGTTACCATGTTTCAGAAACCACAGAACTCAAAACAGTCATGGCACCACTACAGTAACTACACTAAAAACATTTTGGGCAAGAAATATTTTTAAATGTTTACAAACCATTTAAAATTATTGTTAGATTCTAGCTGAGCATCTAAGCTGCAGGTATCTTATTACATAAAGATATATTTCGTTACAACTACACTTAGTTTTCTTACCTTCTTTAATATCTGTGATTTGTTTGCCGCTGATAAATGTAGCCGATTGCACCCTTCCACCCACACATACATTGCTGCTTTTAAGTACTTTCACTGTCTGGTTGACCTATAAGGAGCCACAGATTGAAATGTCTAAATCAACGTTGTTATGTACGTGTGTTAATACAGTGACAAAGCCCTTGTAATTTGGTTTAAAGCACATAAAATGCTCAAGTTATGAACTGTGATGAAACTTAATATACATCTGTAATGACTAGCATATGATCTCGAAAAATTAAGGATCCCGGGTGTTCCGGCCTGCTGCCTTTGAGACATGGCAGCTAGATTTGCAGCTCCACTGAGACGGGCTGGAATTTACAGTTGGAGCAGCCATGGATTTTACAGATGATTCATGCACCTGCTCAGAAAAGCAAGGGTTTTTCCATTTCTATTGGAATGGGAATGGAGTCCTGAACAGGAATGGAATGTAATCACCAGGATTCTGTAGGCCAGGGCATTGTCAGATTCAATATAAGAGAGATTGTCAATAGAGAAAGATCCGATTTTGTTTGGAGGTCACGGAATCCGTGACTTTAACAGACCTCCATGACTTCTTTTACTTCAGCCCACGGGGCTGGAGAAGCTGTCAGCTCCTGCCCAGGAGCAGCAGTGGGGCTGGAGTAGTGGTCGGTGGTCACCCCCTGCCACAGGAGCAGCAGCTGGGCTGAGTCAGCCCCTGGGGTTGGAGAAGCTATCAGCCCCAACCCAGGAGCAGAGGCAGGGTGGGAGCAGCGGCCAGCCCCACGCGGGGCTCCAACTGTTAGTTCCCCCCGACCAGGTATTTTTAGTAAAAGTCACAGACAGGTCACAGGCTTCCTTGAATTTTTGTTTATTGTCCATGACTTTTACTAAAAATACCCTGAGAAAATCTTAACCTTATCAATAGATCAAGAACAGTATAACAATATAACAGGCACCTGCAAAAACATAAATATTCAGCCATTGATGTGAAAATGAATATCAGAGATGTGAAACTATATAGGCTCCTCCAGTGATATTTTTCCCTTATACCAGTCTTGGAAAAATTCCACTCAACCCAGACCAGTACTTTCTTTAACAGGCAAAACACTATTGTTATCCCCGCACCCTTTCCATGATCATGGCAAAAGGTGGGAAGTAGATTTTGTACTTGGGTTGGTAAATGTTAATGACAATTTTTCAAGGCTCCCTTACAACTTGTGACTGACATACATTTAATCATGTTCTCTGATGGATGCCGTTGCAGTAGATCTATTCTGATTAAAATCATCTGCTTCTTTGTGTACAGCAGCGTGGACAAGTAGAGCTTACCTGACAGTACAATTTCGTTTAGGCACAGAGAGTGTGGGCAGGCTTGTTTCACGGGAGATGCATAGTTGCACGACCCCAACAGTATTAGGGGAGACAATGTAGAGAGGTCATGAGGAACAGAGCTGTTGCATCAAATCACAGCAGTGTTCAAAGTGTGCTTCCCTCCACGTTTGGCCAGCTCTGCTGGCTGCTATGGACTAGGGAGGGAGAAATGGTCATAGCCTTGCCTCCTTCCCATGCTTTACGGCAAAGAGCAGTCCATGAGCTCAGGGACAGCATAGAAATAGCAATTGTAGCCTACCCTGGACCTTTCTGCGCCCGTGCAGGGACCAGCCACAGTCTGGTTACGTCTAAGAGGGAATCTGCTAGAAATCTGCTATTTCCTTAACACTTTATATTTGTCACATTCTAAAGTATGACAGCTTTATTGACTTTGAATTTACTCACGTTTTGTGATTCAAATATAATGTGAAGAAACTTCTTATTATTTTAAATTTTGAACAAAAAAGCTCTTTAAAAGCAAAAGAGAAACATATTACCTTTTTCTTTAACCACATCAATGTCTTCTCTTGGCTGTACTTATAAAATTTCTTATTGCCAATTTCTGGGATAAAACAAAACGGGAATAAAGCCATAATTGGTTTTCATTTTCAATACATTAAAAACTCAAAAGATGCACATAAGGCATGGAAGTTATTTCATAGTTTGCACATGTCATCAGGGTAATAATACTTAAAAATATTGGAAATGCGGACAAACAACACAGCAAGCTGATGTTCACAAATCCATGCAACTTGATAATTGTCTAATTTTCTCTAATTAACCCTAATCCAGCAAAGCACGTGCATTATTTAAGTATATGAATAGTCTCAGTCCCAATGGTTTCAAAAGTGGCTTCAATGAGACTATTTACACGATCAAAGTTGAGCACATGCTTAAGTGCTTTGCTGAATCCCTTTTGACACATGCCAACAGACGGTTACATTTATAAGTGATATGGTCACAGCTGTTTTTTTCGTCTCAGGTTCAGTTCCCAGTCAATTTGTTGTTAAGCCTCATGTCTTAAACCTGGACTTTGTAAACAGATGCATCTGGCAGCAAAGGCAGAAAAAAGAATGATTTACAAAAAATATTTTACTGTCCTTCCAAGCATTCTCCCCCAAAGACTCATAGGATGGTGGATAGCAACATTTTCTTTTTCATCACCTCCTTCTGCTTCGAAATAATTTAACATAAATGTCAAAGCAAACAAGTTGTAGTTCTTAAAAAAAAGTGAAACACGCAAATTATTTGGGGAAGGTTATTTTATCTATTATTTGTTAAGCACAATATAAATTAATTATGATATATGTATTAAAAATATTTTCCATGTCTGCAACTATGAGAGCATAAACATTCATTGCTGATGAATGATTAGTTATCTGGGTGTGCTGGGGCAAACGCGAGAGGAAATTACAAAGGTTTCAGGAAAATTTCAGCATAGAACTGCACACTAAATTAATAGTGCATAAAGTCAGGAAATTGAATGAAATGTTTAATAAGATGATATAGGAGACTTTAGAACACACAACAGTTCATTCTTGCTCTTTAACAGGTATTTCAATAGGGTTTAATAACCTATATAACATTACCATAAATACTTACATCTGTTTTAAGTAATTTAAAAGGTCTGATACCATACTCCAGCACTAGGTTCATGGAGTTTCTTTCCCTCCCTGCAAACAACCAACAATGCTTTATTTATGGTTCTTTCCACATTTCCTTCTTTGAGGTGTATCTTGGCTCTTTCACATTGCATACAAATATCTAATTGTTATGTACTTTTTGTGTGTGCATAGCAGGGGGTGGTGAGGGGCTGGGGGAATGTTACATACAAGATATAGTTTAATTTCACCTAGACCATTGTAGAAGAATAAAAAAGGAAATACTTTTACATAGCAAAAAAGAAAAGAAAACTCCAAATACTATCCTTCATTTTATAACTGATCCATTGCAGATAAAGTAGTTGGCTGCGATATTGTTGGCTACAGCCTTTTGGGACTCAAAAAAAAAGTTTTTAAATGGGTCTTAAAAGAAAATAAGTTTGATAGAAGCAGAAAAGGGATACATGAACCTGTTGCTCAAAGAAACTAACATGATTTAGGTCCAAGAATATAATGTACAATTTTTGGATTTCCCTTATCTGAGAAAGTTCGAGGAGAGGACATCCTCTTGCCATCCTCCCCCAATCCATGTTGAAAAATAGTTCAAGACCAGATTTCCAGGCAGAATCCCCAAACAGCATGAATCAGAGTGACTCAGTTAGGGAAGGAAATGTAGAATTGTGAAGCCATTTTCATTAAAACATATGAAAAATAATTACATTGAACCCTTCAGAGATCACTTTGTTTGAAAGTACTTTATGCACTTGACAGTTTGTACTATTAAATACTAGGAACTGACAATATTTGAGACCTCTGAAGAATTGAAATGAGTTGTGAAAGTCACAAACTGCTGACAAAAGGATTCAATACTGGAACATGGATTTTACATGTAATGCACATTTGATATTGGTGAGATTTAGCGACTATGTTTGATAATATGAGAATATATTGGAAAGGCTTTTGTTCCCTAACGTGTCTGGTGCCTATAAAACTGGTCTGAGACATCTGGAAAGATTGGGTTTGAGAAATACAAATGGAATATAAGTGGTTCTACAATTAAATAATATGTTCAGCAATTGGGTAATCGCTATGTATACTTGGAAGTTTCCCTGATGTATTGTTGAGCAAACTGCCTAAAGCACATTTTAACATCTATTTTCTCAGTGTTTTCCATAACTCAGAAACTCTTATGGCCCCTTTTTTCCTACCTTCTGGGAATACAAGCTTGGCAATATTACTTAGCTATTCTAATCAGGTAAGTTTTCTTGGCTCTTCATATTAATCACATCAGACAAGATCACAGTGCAACTTTTGCCTTGCAAAACGAAACAAAGAGTTACACTCACAAACTGAAGTTCATAACCCTTCATTAATCCTTTTCTATCATAGTCTCTCCCTCATACATGAACTTATTTTGAAACAATCCCCCTCACCTAGATCTAGTGAACAGAAAGAAGTAATTTCCTCTACCAACGAAGCAGGTGAATGCAAGTTCAGAGTGGTTTTTACACAGAAACAGAACTCTGACTGCTTCAGTGCCCTGACCGCTGGGTGCCAGGCAGGGGGACTTCTTAATGTTAGCCCAGAAGTGTAAACTATCAGTGCTCTAGGTTCAGAATTTACTACCCGGATTCCCAGTGCTAGTTATGCTTTTTTTTTTATTTGTTAAGCACTGCCACCATGTTCAGTGCTGTCCACAACACAAATACTTCTTGCCCCAAGGAGCTTACTCTCAAATAAGGTAGAGTACACAGAGCAATGAGAGGCCTTAGTAGAGAAGCACTAGATTCTTTAAAAAATGCATTAGTCATAATACCAATAGTTCTTGTGAACACTAGAGAAAGTAAATCTTTAAGAGTGATTTGAATGACAAGTGAGTAGTGGGTTGGTGGAAAGGAAACTTGAGACGCGATGAACAGCCCCGAGTGTATTTGTTACATATTAATGTGTGTGGTGCTGTAAAAGAGAAAAAATAGCTAAAATTCTTGCTCCAAGATACAATCCATAAAACAGACACAAATGGGACAAGCAGCACCTGGAGACCCAGAAATGGTTATGACTAAGAACGTTGTATAAAAACCACTGAATTAAAGTCAATCACATTTTTACATATTTCAAAACAAAATATAAAGATGCTGGCTTTCAGAGTTTGTTGCCAGTTGCTGAAATGGCTATACATTATATAAAATTATATGCATACATATTTTATGTATAAACAAAAGTAAATACTTCCCATTTGTCTAAAGGAATAAAGGCGCTTCCCAGAGGTTGCTTTGTTGTACTATAACTGCATATATTATTTACAGAACTAACACTGAGATAAGGTTAAGAAAGAAGAACTTTTTATGGTAACCACTATTATATTTTTGCTAAGAAATAATATATATATATATTTTTTTTCCAAAGGGCTACATTGTGATTTATACTAGGCATTCATGCAAGGGAATAACCCACTCCTCCTTATTACCCCTATACAGACTTTCTAGTCTGGGTGGCTCAGGAGTAAACCAGGTTATTCCCTCAGTGGAGTAGGTGGATAGAACCTTGGCTTCTCCTCCTCCACTCACTGACCAGCATGGGGGTGGGGCTGAGGAGACTGTAATTTACTTTTGGTACAAACCAGCAGTAAAATTACTACCACTCCAGAGCAAGGAGGAAGCAGGGAGAAACAGTGACCAGGAGGCATATCTGTGTGTCACACTGCCTTCTAGGGTTACTCATGGGGTAGCGCAGATTTTGCGCTACCCCTTTGTCTAGGCTTTTGTGCCCAAACTCACAATCTAGCTCTAAAGTAAACAGTCATTCATATCTGCTAAAACTATGTGCAACGTGAGCCTTTCTGAAGAGTTAGTTTTGAAACCAAACAAAATAATCTGCAACTCAGAACGGTAAATCTGAGCACTGACCTGGGACCCGATGCTGTGCACCTTCGACTACCACTGAAAGGCCTCTACAGACAAGACTTCCTGCTTTCATCCTTTGACGTGTGTATCATTTCTTTAGTTGTTTACCCTCTTTCGCAAGCTAAGCACAGGTTTCCAGCCAGGCCCACAGCTGGGTTACTTTATTTGTTGTACGTGTAACTGGGAATAGTAAGGACACTTTCTCCTTTCTTAATGAAAGTTTACTTTGTGTCCCAGAATTTCTTTCATCTATGTCGCCAGGCTGAGGCTAAGGAAGATAGAAATCTAATTTCCTTCCACCCTTGCTTTATAATTAAATCCTCTCATTTCTGGCAGCAGCCAGTATCCATTCAGTATTCCTGGTCACAACAAATAGGTAGTAACAGTGTTATCAGTATGTTCTCCTTTGGTCCTGCTTTCTCACTGCAATAAAGGTGACTATTTTCAATGGAAGAATGTCCTACTTTATGTTCAAATGAAGCTTTTTAGGAAGAAATGGCTGAACACATGCAACACAACCCTTACCTATAAGGACAGAACATCATCTCATATTGTGAGAATATATCTGGTTCCCTAAAAGTTCAACATGCCTCTCCAGGTTATTGTTTCATGTAACTTAACAGTAAGTGATACAAGTTTTAGTATTTTTCTTCTGTTTGTGGTGCTTATTGTTCCATTGTTACTTTTCAATTCTTTGGTAGTTATCCTTGTAACACTGCCTAAATCTTCCCTCCCAAAGCTGTCAATGACAACTGCAGCCTGCCATTGCTACAGGAATTGGTTCAAACAAGGCTTCTTGTTCGCATACCTTAGCGCCTTGTAGGTGCTCTACACAGCATAGAAATAGAAAAACTGGTTGATTTTTTTTTAATGGAAAAAGAAGGCCAATGTGGAAGATTCTGTTTTCTCTAACTTCTGTATCCTTCTTGAATGATTACCTCTCCATTCAGTCAGGAGGTCAGCACAGAAGGGGGCCCCTATCTGAAAGACAGGACCCTTCGGGATTTTTACAAGTCTTAAATTTTCAGACGATATTGCTATGAATTATGAAGGCTCTTTTCCATGTCTGCCAAGCTTGTGCTATGAAAAAAGCCATGCATTTAAATGTATCTAACAAACAGTTAGGGCCATATGTTGTCCTCAACTGACACACGAACTCCCAATAATATCAATGGGAATTCTGTGTAAAGATCAAGGACAGTATGTGTATACCCTTGACAGATGGAGTTGATTCAGGTTTTCTTTAATACAGTTTATCACCTCATTCTACCAACACCCCTTTCAGAACAAAGCTCGCAATAGCAGACAACTGCTGACTTTTTTAAATAAATTTTTCTTTTTACTTAATTTTAACACCACACCATAAACTTGTGCAAAACTATAGGCACTTGTGCTGTCTCTTCTCCTTTCCTGAAATGCCTCTCACAGCCCATCCCAGCTTGGGCCTGCTTACTCTCCATATACTGCGCTTGTAATTCACAGGGGACACTGGTGCCACTGCTCCTTAGTGGACCATCCAACTGGCAAAAGAGTCACTCCAAGACCCATGTGATGCTTACCAACAGAAAAAGAGATATTGCTCACAGGATAAGGGAACCACTCGGATTCCTTTTACAACTTTAATGATATATCATTTTTGATGCCACCAAATGGTGGAACGGTATGTTACTAATTTAGAGCTGCAGTATATAATTTCAGCCAAGTGCAACACCTTTTAAAATACTGAAATAAAGATCACTTATAAAAGGAAGCCCCATCATTCCTTAAACAACTACTGAAGTGCAGTTCTACTCTGAGCCAATGACATTGAGGGGGGTTACATGTTTATTGTCTCAATGTTTTTCAGATCAAACATTTATAAATGAAAAGCTGGTTGTTTCACTTGCCAACCCTGCAAACTCAACCTGGAATGTAAACACAAGCTAGGTTCTTTCTATCACACATATCACCCAAAGTAACAGAGCTTCTACATGCTCAATTAGGCCTTCAGCAATACCTGTGCAACTGCAATATACAAGTGTAACTGAGTAAACAATTCTGTTGCTGATGCAAAAGAAGTAATAAAATCCAGCTCATTCACATGTAATTTGGCAAAAACAGCCCAACTAACCAGAATAAAAGCAATAAAAAACATTTTATTGCTAAGATCAACAGATATAACTCACAAAATGATGAGCATGGTGGTGCTATTATTACGTAGTCACTTTTCAGCGTAAACTCGCACTTTTAAAAATCTTCAAGTATTCCAGTAGAGTACAGTTTTGATTAATCTTTAGTAAGACCCCCTCCTCTACTGAGAAAGCACTCTTGCTGATCCCTGATTTCATTGTAGTTGTGGTGGTTATAGTTGCAGTCATAGAAATGCACAGCCACATACATACACAGTTAAAAAATAAAATTAAAAAATAGAGCCGTACCTGAGATACAAGTTATAAACAAAAGAGAAAGGTTTAATTTGCCAAACATGGCAATTACTTTATGGAGGGAAAACTTTTTGCAAATTTAGGAGAATGATCAACCACATGAATGGATTCCAATAATAAAATGCAGCAGGACATGTGGCAGATTACATTGGCACACCAAAGATGCTTGGTGAAACAAGACATAAAAGCCAGTGCCTAGTGCTGTTGGCTTAGCATCAGAGTGGCTTCTAGTCCCACTGTGCAGAGGTCAACTGAAACAAATAAATACACCCTTCAGAACCAAACATTAGCTGAAGAATTAGTCTGTTAGCTAAATTAACATCCCAAATCTTGTACCTTTTTCTTCTATCACATGATGTAGTGAGTCCATAACTCTTGCACACTGTAGCAACATCGTACAGCTAGAAAATTCTGAATCAACCACAACTTGATCCAGTGGTTGGAACTTTCCTTTCTGAAAAAAAAAAAAAAAATCAAAGGGATTATAGAAACATTACTGTCAACAATAGCAAAAATATAATAAACCATTAAATGTTTTATGGCTAATGCCTTAAACCAAGGATTACAAAGACTGGATTGCTAGTAGTACCACGACATATTCTGTTTACAGAGCAACAAACTATAAAGAAATATTTCAAAACCCTAAATACTTACAAAGTACTGAACTTTTCAATTAGTGTGCTTAAAAAGGTCCAGTTGCAAAACATCATGGAGACAAACAAATGCAAAGTACAGAGGGTTTACTTTGGAAGATGACAGCATGTTACAGTAGTTAATGTGTACCAACAGCTTTTCTAGACACAACCTGCTGGATTAAATTCAGCATCATAACTTTCATTCAAATTTTGCTTTTTCCCTTTCCATAAAGAGGAATCTCAGAGGAGCAGTGCATCTTAAGGAACATAGTGCTAACCTTTCATCTCTGGAAAGTGAGTTCCAGTTTGGCCTAAAGTCTTACATAAAGTGGTTTTGGCACAGCTTAAATAGCACTGTACACGACAGAACCATCAAACAAATCTCGCCTTTGCCAGACATTACAATGCATAATTATTCAGCACAGTTTGGCACAATTGGCAGCTTTCCCTTTGGAAATCTCCCTGAGCACATCAGTACAAAGGCTCAGTTAGCTCTCCATCCTTAGAGTGAATGGTCTCTAAGGGCCAAAGCTGAAGTCATTATGCTGGTCAGGGTGACAAAAAAACACTTGCGTAAACCGCATTCATTATTAGAGAATAATCTCATTGGAGCAATCAGAGAATTCATAAAATAACCAACTGAAATGTACAAGGTGCAAAACAAAACAAAGGATTTCTATTTGTTTCTAGTGCAGAAAAAAGTAGAGATAATCAAAATAAGAAAACGATTACAAGAATAAAACAATACATTTATATTAAAATTAATCTGTGGATAAGGTTTTCAAAAGGCTACTAAATCTGAATGAAGTGTGGTACATGGAAAGCCACTGAAGGTATTCTTCTATAACTGTTTATAAGAATGTGGACTACTATAAAGACTGTGATGGACTACAATACTATAAAGCATACATATTTATGGTTACCCTATCATAAAACGATGAAACATTTCCAACACAATATAGGTTAAATTACTGATTAGAAATATCAAGCAGGTGTTGACTGCTAAAAGAACATGCATAAAAGATTTTGTATCCTCAATCCACAACTTAAAAGCATAAAGAAAATAATTCCCTCCCATCCATATACTTTTTCTTCATTGAAACAGTAACAGGGAATCTTAGAGGGAGAAACAAGAAATAGGTACTGAAGGAAAGAGAAGCCTTTCAGATAAGTAACCTGAATTTACTGCCTCCATTTGGCATGATTGAAGAGTGGCATTTAAATTCTTCCAGTTAGATAAGCTAGTGTCCTTTGGCTCATGGACAAGAGATTACATTAACTAATTAAATGCATTTTTCTATTCTTCCTGATGTATTGTACTTTTAAATTGCACATGAGAATTTGCAGAGCCGTGTGATCAATTCATTTATTATCTGCCTTGGATTACTTAAACATACCTTTGCCCATAATCTGCCATTCCAGGATTTATCTACATTCTAACCCCTGTAACTACTTCAAACAGCCACCTTTTTCCTTTAAGATCAACCTGCCACAGAAATGTTTCCTCCTCCTCCCCACAAACATGTGGGTTCTCCACAAAAGTTGCATCTACCTCTGGCTCAGGACAGGCACTATTCAGTCCTACACAAACAGCAGCTTATCAGTTCAAACTCCAGTATCTCCCAGCTCTACAGGCCTAGACTCAGGTGCTTTATGATGACAGGAAAGAGGAGATTCTGTTTCCAAATGGGAACCAGCATTCACTTCTGGCCCTGCAGGGCTGCAACATAAATTACTTTAAAATGGTAGTATTTTAAAGTTATTTTAGGTCATGTCTGGAGGTTTTTCACATATATTAATTTTAATTTTTCTCCCTCTTTGAGCCCTTGCAGTGTGGTGTGACACTGACAGACTGATCAATTGGTGTATGAGCCATAACTCCTCAACAGAAGGTATTGAAATGATAAACAGGATCACTCCCTGTAGACAGTTATCAAAGCCATATTAAGTAGACTAGAAACTCTATGTTTGCTTATACTGTTTGAAAACCAAGAATAGATTATAATTGTATTTGTGTGTGTTTACCTATATCTTGTTAGAAGTTTAACAATGTGAGCTAATTCACTTGTACATGCTAAAATTCTGTTCCTGTCTTTAATGATTCATTACTGTATTCTATTGATTCAGAGATCAAAAAGGGATTAGATGGGACTTTTAGTGTAATAACATTATTGGTTCATTTTTCTTTGAAACTTGTAAATTCCACATAAGTAAACTACCTGTGAACTGTTTGAATGGTTAATTGCCTTATGCTAATGAATACAACTAGTTACCAGGAAACAGAGATCAGCTTCAAAAACAATATACATTAGCTATTCTCATCCAAGAAAGACCCTGCTGTGACCATGGCTTGTTCAGCTATAAGAGAAGACTTGGGCCTGATCCCTATCTTATCTCAGTTCTGCTTAAACTTTGACAAGGAAAGTCTAAGCCCACAGGACTGAGGTCTCCAGGTTACTCTGGATCCATCCTGAAATTCTAATGGAAGAATTTGAACAAGCTCTGCACATGGACTGCCTATAGGACTATAACCTATTGAACTGATTCTAGAACAGTGTTTCTCAAACTGGGGTCGCCGCTTGCGTAGGGAAAGCCCCTGGCGGGCCGGGGCGGTTTGTTTACCTGCCCCGTCTGCAGGTCCGGCCGATCGCGGCTCCCACTGGCTGCGGTTCGCTGATCCAGACCAATGGGAGCTGCTGGAAGCAGCGCGGGCCGAGGGACTTACTGGCCGACGCTTCCAGCAGCCCCCATTGGCCTGCAGCGGTGAACTGCGGCCAGTGGGAGCCGCGATCAGCTGGACCTGCGGACGGGGCAGGTAAATAAACCGGCCCGGCTCGCCAGGGGCTCTCTCTACACAAGTGGCGACCCCAGTTTGAGAAACACTGTTCTAGAAGAACTTTTGCAGATCAGCAGCCTCACCATCTCTGCTATGAAACAGACATAAGAACTTTACTCATATCTGTATGTATATTGATCTTTTAACCATAACAATTCTCTTTTCTCTTTTTATTAATAAATCTTAGATTTAGTTAATAAGAATTGGCTGTAAGTGTGGGTGAGATATGAAATATTCATTGACCTGATGGGCAATGCATCTGCTCTCTTGGGATTGGTAGCACTTTATATATGGTGAATAAGGTTTTTAGTAACCGTCACTATATTAGACTTGGCTGTCTGGGTGGAAGCCAAAGGCTGGATTGCTTAAAGGGGACCGTATTTTGGTTTCTTGGTAACCAGTAAGGTATTATAGAAGTTGTTTGGTTACTGGTTTGGTGAAATCTAGTTATAGAATAAAAAGACAGTTACCTTTTCTGTAACTGGTGTTCTTCAAGATGTGTTGCTCATGTCCATTCCACAATAGGTGTGCGTGCTTGCCATGTGCACCGGTGCTGTAAGTTTTTCCCCTAGCAGTACCCGTAGGGGAGCGCCACTAGCGGCCCCTGGAGTGGCACCGCATGGTGCGGTATAAGGGGCGCTGCGTGCTCCCACCACCCTCACTTCCTTCTTGCCAGACAACTCCGACAGTGGGGAAGAAGGGCGGGATATGGAATGGACATGAGCAACAAATCTCAAAGAACACCAGTTATGGAAAAGGTAACTGTCTTTTCTTCTTCGAGTGATTGCTCATGTGCATTCCAAAATAGATGATTCCAAGCTATATCTGTTGGAGGTGGGTAGGAGTTCACAGACACTCGGGACGAAGCACTGTTCTGCCAAACCCGGCGTCCTCCCTAGTCTGGGAGACGATCGCATAATGCGAAGTGAATGTGTGGACCGAAGACCATGTGGCAGCGCTACAAATGTCCTGGATAGGGACGTGAGCCAGAAAGGTGGCCAATGAGGCTTGCGCCCGTGTCGAGTGCGCCCTCACAATCGGTGGTGGGGGAACTCCCGCCAGGTCGTAACAAGTACGGATACACAAAGCGATCCAGTTGGAGAGCCGCTGAGTGAAGATCGGCCGACCTTTCATGCATTTGGCCGTAGCGATGAACAGTTGCAAAGACTTCCTGAACGGTTTTGTTCATTCCCGGTAAAAGACTAGAGCCCCATCTCACATCTAGCATGTGGAGGTGGCACTCCTCACTAGACGTGTGGGGCTTGGAACAGAGCACCGGAAGGAAAATGTCCTGGCTCATATGATAGGCGGAGACCACCTTAGGGAGGAACGAAGGGCGTGGTCGGAGCTGCACCTTATCTTTATGAAATACGTGTACGGGGGTTCAGCGGTCAGGGCCAAGAGCTCCGAGACCCTCCTAGCGGACGTGATTGCCACAAGAAAGGCTACTTTCCATGAGAGATGGGACCAGGAGCGTGTAGCAAGAGGCTCAAATGGAGGCCCTATCAGCCTGGCCAAAACCAAGCTCAGGTCCCACTGAGGGACTGGGAGTCTAACGTAAGGAAAGAGGCGATCCAAGCCCTTAAGGAATCGACGGGTCATGGCGTGAGAAAATACTGTGTGGCCCTGCACTGGCGGGTGGAAGGCCGATATCGCTGCCAGGTGCACTTTGACAGATGAGGGCGCTAGACCTTGGGCTCTCAGATGAAGGAGGTAATCCAGTATAAGCTAGAGCAGAGCAGCCACTGGTGAGATGCTGCGATCCGCGGCCCACCGGGAGAACCTAGACCATTTTGCCAGGTAGGCCTGACGCATGGAGGGCCTCTTGCTTTCCAGGAGGACTCGCTGGACGCCCTCCGAGCAGGTCCTCTCCCTGTGGCCTAGCCACTGAGCAACCATGCCGTGAGGTGGAGGGCTGCCAGGTTGGGGTGGAGGAGGCGACCTTGGTCCTGAGAGAGAAGGTCTGGGCGGGTTGGCAGTGGCCATGGGGGGCCATGGACAGGCTCGTAAGAGTCCCATACCAGTGCTGCCTGGGCCATGCTAGGGCGATCATGAGGATGCGAGCCCTGTCTGTCTTGACTTTTTCTAGGACCTTGCTGATCAGTGGAATTGGATGAAAAGCATATAGAAACTGACCCGACCAGGACAGAAGGAAGGCGTCGGAAATCGCGCCCTTGCCCAGGCCCCTCTTGGAGCAGAACCGAGGGCACCAGCGGTTCTGCCTGGTTGTGAAGAGATCCACCTGAGGCGTGCCCCACGTTTGTTGGGAGGAGAAGTCCTGGCTCAGGCGATCCGCCCGAGAGTTCCAGATACCCAGTAAATGGTGGGCTTCCAGGCTGATATTGTGGGCTATATAGAAGTCCCATTCCTGGAAGAGGGCTAAGGAGTGAGCCCCACCTTGCCTGTTGATGTAGAACATCGAGGCCGTGTTGTCCGTGAGAACTCTGACTACCCTGCCCGTAAGGCACGAGCAGAAGGCCACGCAGGCCAGACCGAATGCCCTGAGTTCTTTGACGTTTATGTGCAGGGCTAGGTCCTATGTGGACCACAGGCCTTGGGTCTGGAGGTTTTCCACGTGGGCTTCCCACCCCAAGTCTGACGCATCAGACACCAATCCTATAGTTGGGGGGCAGCTCCTGAACAGGACCCCTCAGAGCATGTTCTCTGGGGTGGCCCACCAACGGAGGGAGGCTAGAATGGGTTCGGGCACGGTGAGGACCTTGTCCAGCCTGTCTCTGGACTGGGAGAACGTCGAGGTCAGCCAGAACTGAAGGGGCTGCATCCTGAGTCTGACGTGATGTACCACGTATGTACACACTGACATGTGACCAAGGAGTTGGAGGCACGCCCTGGCAGCTGTCACAGGAAATCTCATGATCACTCAGATGAGCTCCCTCAAGGTTTCGAACCTGTCTGGCAGGAGGGAAGCTCCGGCCGATGCCGCGTCGAGAATCGCGCCAATGAACATCTGCTATTGTGTGGCCAGGGAGGTTGAAGTGTTCTCCTACAGGTTTTTGTATATTGTCATATCCCTGGGGGGAGGGATAGCTCAGTGGTTTGAGCATTGGCCTCCTAAACCCAGGGTTGTGAGTTCAATCCTTGAGGGGGCCACTTAGGGACCTGGGGCAAAATCAGTACTTGGTCCTGCTAGTGAAGGCAGGGGGCTGGACTCGATGACCTTTCAAGGTCCCTTCCAGTTCTAGGATAATAGGATATATATATATATACGTATATTCACTACGCAAGAGGATAAATGGACACAAGTCAGATATCAGGAATAGTAATATACAAAAACCTGTAGGAGAACACTTCAACCTCCCTGGCCACACAATAGTAGATGTAAAGGTAGCCATCTTATAGCAAAAAAACTTCAGGACCAGACTCCAAAGAGAAACTGCTGAGCTCCAGTTCATTTGCAAATTTGACACCATCAGATCAGGATTAAACAAAGACTGTGAATGGCTATCCAACTACAGAAGCAGTTTCTCCGCCCTTGGTGTTCACACCTCAACTGCTAGCAGAGCACCTCACCTTCCCTGATTGAACTAACCTCGTTATCTCCATACTGATTTATACCTGCCTCTGGAAATTTCCATTACTTGCGTCTGATGAAGTGGGCATTCACCCACGAAAGCTTATGCTCCAATACTTCTGTTAGTCTTAAAGGTGCCACAGGACCCTCTGTTGCTTTTTACAGATTCAGACTAACACAGCTACCACTCTATTACTTGCACTTGCTGTGGCACTGCTGGAACAGGCTGCCCCGCCGGACTTGCCCGGTCCACCAACTGTCGGCTCCGAGGGGAGGCCGGGCTGGCATACGAATGGCAGCTATCCTGGGATGGGGACGAGTAATGGTGTCGTGAACTGTGCCAGGCTCGAGACCTTGAGTCTGGTGTAGAGGAGCGGGAGTACCGTCTGTAATGGCTGCTCTGCGAACGGCTCCGTCGGGCAGATCCGCGACGGCCAGTTGCTAGTGATCTACGCCTGAAGCTGCGGGAGGGGTGCTGTGCTGGGGACCTCAACTGGGACGGAGAGCGTGAGCGGCGTCAACATCGGTACCGTGAGGGGCTACAGCGGCTTCTCGGAGTCGGCGTCTGTCCCAGTCCCGGTGGGGCGCGCTCTGATCTTGAGGCCTGCACTTCCTCGATGTGGAGCGGTGCCTGGATTCCCTGCTGCTCAGCACCCAACGAGACAATCTGGTGGGGGTTGATGGGGACCAGCGTGGGCTGCGGGGGGGGGGGGGGGAGGGGGGTATGTGTGTGGTCACTCTGTGGAGAACGGCGTCGGGAACCTTCCCTCGATGATGAGCGGTACCGCCCAGGTGGCGACTGTGGCGGTCCGAGTGCTGGCTTGCCTCTGGACCAGGGAGCCGCTGGGGTCGGTGCAGCTGATACCGGGAGAGACATTATGTCTCAAGCCGCCTGCAGGGCCTCCAGCGTGGAGGACACCCATATGTGGCCACTAGCGTCCGCGGAGGCCGGCTCAGAGTGGGCTGGGCTACTCCGCTCAACTTGAGTCGGAGGCCGCGAGGTCGAGGGGGATCGAGAGCTGCCCAACGTGGGTCTAGTCTTGCCCCCAGCCTTGCCCCGGTGCCTTGACAGAGAAGATCTCTTCTTCGTCTTCTTAGAGTGTCCTGTGGATGGGGAGCAGTGCTGGCTGGTGGAGGGCACTGCTGGGTCGCTGCGCGCACCGATGCTGCGGTGCTCGGTGCCGACTCGGACTGGCATAGCGGTGTCAGGGCCGACTCCATCAATATGGCTCGGAGCCGTATGTCCCGCTCCTTCTTGGTCCAAGGCTTAAATGATCTGCAAATCTTGCAGCGGTTGCTGAGGTGGATTTCCCCAAGACAGCGTAAACAGCTAGTGTGTGGATCACTTACAGGTATAGGCCGTTTACAAGTGTTGCACGACTTAAAGCCTGGGGCGCGGGGCATGCCCTGACCCCAGTGCACTTTTTTACTCTATCTATATAACTTTTTTTTTTTTTTTTTTAAACACACACAGGTACTATCTACAAACTAAACGACAGTCCAAACAGGGAAAGCTACAGCTGAGAGTTGGAGCACAGCAGTTCCAAGGAACCTTCACTGGAGGCAAGAAAGAACTGAGAGTGGGGGAAGCGCGCAGTGCCCCTTATACCGTGCCATGGCGGCACCACTCCAGGGGTCGCTAGGGGCGCTTCCCTATGGGTACTGCTAGGGGAAAAACTTCCGGCACTGGTGCATGTGGCAAGCACACACACCTATTGTGGAATGCACATGAACAATCACTCGAAGAAGAACCACCAGTTTTGGGGATTGTCTGCCCTATTCTTTGCAGTTTGCCCTGAATAAGCATTCTCAGTGTAGCCTCTCCAGGCACCACAGTCACAGGGACTCATAGGCCTCAATCTCTAGGAACAAAGAATGTAGGCCATCCTTATAGAATGGGGGGATCTATCCAGGGAAGCAGTGACACTGAAAAAGATTTGAGAGTCATGCTGGAAAATCAGCTGATTGTGAGCTCCCAGTACAACCCTGTGGCAAAAAGGGCTAATGCAATCCTTGGATGCATAAACAGGGGAATCTTGAGTGTAGAGAGGCTATTTTACCTATGTATTTGGCACTGTTGTGACTGCTGCTGGAATACTATATCCCGTTCTGGTGCCATCAATTCAAGCGGGATGTTGATAAACTGGAGAAGGTTCAGAAAAGAGCCACAGGAATAATTAGAGGATTATAAAACATGCCTTACAGAGATAGAGTCAAGGATGTCAATCTATTTATCTTAACGAAGTGAAGGTTAAGGGGTGACTTGATTAAGTCTATAAGTACCTACACAGGAACAAATATTTGATAATGATCTCTTCAATCTAGCAGAGAAAGGTGTAACAACCCAGTGGCTGGAAGTTGAAGCTAGACAAATTCAGACTGGAAATAAGGTTTACATTTTTAACAGTGACAGTAGTTAACCATTGGAACAATTTACGAAAGGTCACGATGGAGTCTCCATCACTGACAATTTTTAAATCAAGAATGGATATTTTCTAAAAGATATGCTCTAGACATTTTTTCAGGGATGTTCTATGGCCCATGTTATACAAGAGGTGGACTAGTCGATCACAATGGTTCCTTCTGACCTTGGAATCTATGAATTCCACAAAGTCCTAAGCAACCTGGCCCCAATCCAGCAAAGTACTTAAGCAGGGGTTTAAGTGCTTTGTTCGACTGGCGCCAAAAAAATGTAACTCAAATGTTAGGGGGAAATCTTGTGCTGAGCAGTCACAAAACGGATTTTTCCAATGCTTATAATTCAGCTTGTTTTGTTAATTTTTATATTTAGTTAGGCAAACTGGCTTAGAGGTAAGTCCTCAGTAAGGACTACACACGTGGAAATTTCAACTTGTAAAGGTCAACCATTTTTAAACTCATCAATGTGCAAAGCAGCATCTTCACATTTTTCTAGAGTGGTAAAAGTATTTTTGTTTCCCTCACCTTCCATAATTAAAAATGGATGAATGAATTCATCTCAAACTTTCCAAAATATTCACCTTTGGAATGAGACCAAAAATGAAACATTTCAGATGAAATTGAAAATTTTTCAGATAATTATGAGCAGAGAGAGAAATATAAGGCTTATGATCAAAATCAAAATGTAACCTTAACTATAACATCCTTTACTGACAATCCACTACATCTTTGATTACCAAACAACAGTGGCAAAAATGACAACAACCTGTCTGGGACATGTATTTGTGCTCCAGTGAAATATAATTTAACATTCATTTAGCGTGGGAGTCCCACTTTAAAGAATTAAAATAACTTTTAGAGAAAATAAAGTAATAAATAGCTGTTTCCCCTAAAATTTCTAATGCCAGAATCAAGGACACTTACCTCTTTCTCTGCCTTTATGAGGTAGAAAAGCACCAGAAATAAAGGATCCACTGGTGTTGCAAACAATAGGCGTCCATCTATGGACAGAAAGATGAAAGAACATTTTATTCTCAGAAACATAACATAGGCAGCTTGATTATTTCCTTTTAATTTTACTGATGGGGCTGCAGCATTTTCATGGAGCAGTTAAGTAAATTCTGTTATTTTGTTTTATAAATGCCTTAATATAAAAGGGCTCAATTCTCAATTGTGCCTAAGCCACGTTCAAATACAGCGGGACAGGTGTCTTGATAGGAAGCTGACTGTAGCTCAATGATTCTGCTCTCCCCCTAGTCCTGGCATAAGTTAAAGCTGCAGGAGTCTAGCTTCAATGAATGCAACAGGAGAAATCCTTTCCATCAGCAGAGAATCAGGCATAATGAGGCCTCGCTCTGCTGTGGCCCCTTCCCCACTTACATCAGGCACAAGCTCTGCAGTAGGAAGCAGAAGATGAGTTGTAGCTGAAATCTGCATGCTTTACAAAGGCCAGAGATTCCCTCTGCATGCAGGAATTCTCTGTTGGTTTCTTATGTGACACAAAGTGAACTTAGTAGACCAGAGAATATGGTCCAGTGCGTATGTTTAATAATATATACCAATTGCAGGATGGGGCCTTCGTTTAACAGAGCCTTCAATATAGATAATTGGAAACAACAATGTAACATGAAAGCAATTCATTAGATAAGATCTAATAATTGATAACCATTTGACATTAGAAAACCAAAAATGAGTGCAGATATTTGGACTTGACAGCTAGAGAGAGGTTTTTGTTTTAATTCATTAATAGGGAATGAAATTTTAACATACTTTTCCCATTTTGTATTTCCTAAATCTTGCCAAACCAAGATCAGGTTATTGGTGAATCATTTGGCTTACAACTAATAATTCATTTTTCATATTTCAAAAAGTGTTGATTTTCCAATGGAAGACCTAACAACAGAACCAACAGGCCCAATGGTAAATTATAATTTGTGATGTCTTTAATTAATTTGCATATTTATTTCCAAATCTTCTCCATTTTAGAGTAAGATCGCTAAATAAGTATGAAACCCCATTCCCCAAGTTCTGTCTTACAGTCATCTATTCCTTGTCATTGGTACCTTTTAATCTGATGGCTGGAAGGTACCATCATAGCACTGAGAAAGCAATTTTTTTTTTTTAAAAGAAGCTTTTTTGTATTTTGGGGACATAGAATACTAAATGTATTTCTATTTCTCTACACACTCATTTGTTCCCGTAAAAACATCATTTCCAGTAGCAATGAGTCTAGTAATGCATTACTGTCACTTGAAAAATATGAGAAAAATCCAAACAATGAGATCATCGTTAAATATTGAAAAATAAATTAGAAAAAGGCAGAAAGAAAGACAGGCCTTTGGAAGGCAACAGGGAACTCAGGATATGTCTACACTACAAGTGCTACAATGGCAGAGCTGCAGTGGTGTACTCAATCCACCCCCTTGAGAGCCAGTAGCTAGTTTGACAGAATTCTTCCGTCAACCTATCAGTGTCTAAACCGAGGCTTTGGTAGGCTACTTTTTCACACTCCTGAGTAACGTAGCTAAGTCAATCTATGTTTTAGGTGTAGATCAGGTCTGTTTCTGGAACAGCTGAAGATGGAGCATGCTGTGAAGGTGACATGCTGGCTATCAAAGGGAGGTAATGTTACGCTTTTCAAACAGCAGCTTCTGTAGTCTAGATCATTAAGAGCCACAACAAATATGTTACTGCTTGAGAGGCAGTTCAACCCATCTTCCAGGTAGTGCATTTGCATCAGCAGTGGGATATAAAGAAAAAACAGGCCAACAAGAGAAGATAACATGAATTACAGGGAATTGGAGCAAGCTCCTCTTTCAGGGGATGCAGGAAATCAAGAATGAGAGATTCCATGACACAAGTATCGATATGTCAGACAAATGGGAGAAAAGACAGGGAAACTCCACTCAGGAACCTGAAAGGCTCACTAACAAAGCTAGGTTGAACACGGACCCATTTTACAGGAAGTGCAAAACTCATGAATTTCAGACTTATACATAGCTAGAATACTCAAACAAAAACAAAAAGCTGGAGAATTATCATCAGAAGAACAACTTTTTCAGAGGTACAGGAGTTAATTTTATACATGCCACTGCAGCACTCAAAGAAATTAGGAACACCTTTCCAGGCTTCTAAACAAAATGCAGGTGAAGATTCCTGAGGACAGCTATTTCTCAGGGGCCAAGGCAGAAGGTGGGAGGAGAAGGGGACATAGAAAATTCAACATAATCAGCAGCATGAAGCATGCACACTCCCGTGGCTCAACGCCCATCCACAGCAAGTCAAAGCTTACAGCAGCATTACTTGCAATCTGGTTATTCCTATATGCACCTGTGCAAAGGAAATTTAGAATTAAACACACACTTAGGGATAATGCAATTAAAGAAGATATACAGTTTTTAGAAAATTGTGTGTTCCCTGTCATTAAATTATACTTTTTCTAGAAAAAAAATATCAAATAAAATAGGATGCAGTAATTGACTGGGCAAGAAACTTTTCTCTAGTGACATCCTCATTGATAAAAACATTGTTAGATCCTTGGTGAGAAGGTACAGAAAGCTGTCTGCCTTCTATTTAAAAAGATAGACTAGGATGAGGAGAGGGCTGTGAATAAATAGGGGAACTTGCTCCAGGTTATGAAATTCCTAAATACCAGCCTCAGAAAAAGAGCCATCGGCTTGAGATCCCAAAGCTTTTCTGGGAACCAGAATGGTAGGTGAAAGGAAGAGGGACCAAATGTTTCAATGCCTGAAACTATATTTCATTGCTAAAATAAGTGGGTCCATTTATGCTTTTTTCCATCAAATTAAAATATACATACGTTCCCTGAGGACTTGTCAGGTTGATTGACAAGGAAAGCTAAATATTTTGTGGCACTTGAGTTTACTACAATTTGATTTTTTTCAAGACATATGAACATCTGTCTAATTGAGGCTGCCAAAGGCAGTCTTCTAAGAGACCACAAAGCCCCACCCCTGGCTAAATCCAGATGGCATGTGAGTGCCTCAGAAGGTGGAGATAGTGTGTGACTGGACTCTGCAATTAGGAGACACAACAGTAAATTTATGGGGGGAAAATGTATGAATATTAGTTACATTTAGGGGTAAGGGAGAGGAAACACTATGTTACTCACCATGTTGAACAGTCTGACCTATAAACCAAGAACGATATTCTTCATGAAAAGCTTTTACTTCAAACAGCTGCTGTGCACTGCTATTGAATAAGTAGAGGGCAGCTTCCCCTGTTAAAAGAAATCTGGTTTGTATTTGCAAGCTTTCATGAAAATCAAAAGACCATCCAATATGTCTGAAGAATGTGCCTATTATATACATAAACATACATACATTCTACATACACTGTAACTACAAAGAAAGCTTAGACAAAGAAAACTATTATATACAGATGTTCGTTTACCAGCTCTATAATCCCTACTCAATTTTGCATCAATAAATAAGAAGTGTGAATAGTTCATCTTACAGTGCAAAGCCTTTGATTCAAACCCAAATCAGATCACACAAGAAATTAGCTTTTGTCTGTATGGGAGGGGGTGGTGATAGCGAGAATTTCGCTCTTCTTTCTTTGTGTCTGTCTCTGAGTTATCTGACTCAGGGATAGGGAATGAGAGTCCCGACTCTTTTAAGTGCCATTTTGTTGTTTGTCATTTATTTTTGTGTGTTGGTACAGATGTAGGGAGAGTATGGGTTAAATGAATTAGGTGAATGAAGGAGCTGAACTAGTGGGTTTCATTAGAAACTTGAAATCTTGGAGATGACAGAAATGCTTTGTTTTAGGCCCCTTCGCAAAATCCCCCTGCTTCTCACTGGTTCACATGGACAAAGTGGAATAGATCATTTTTATGCCCCCCCATATTAGTTTTGATTACGAAATGCCAAATATATTGTGAACAAGGCTGACAATCTCCATTACTATAATGGAAAGCCACCAAGACTTTGCTTTGGAAGTTGTATGATTTTGCAGACTTGGTTAGTTCTGGCTGAGCACTCAAGAGCACACCAACATTGCATGGGTGCTTATACAATATTTGGAGACAACAATTTAGTTATTAAAACACAAATATTCTAAAAAGATGCTAAAAGGGTGTTTTCTTCTCTTCCTATTTCAGACTCTGCACTCATACATAAGGTTACATAACCAAAAGTTTGCGCATTACAGATCTTTAAATAGGCTTCCTGTAATTCTATAGTAAGTTACTCAGCTTCGGTGTCAGCAACTACACCGAAAGCTTTTTCTCTAAAAGCCTTACCCACACACTTTTCAGTCTACAAGTTAAATAGATCACTTCCTTCCCTGGTAAAATATAAATTCTTATCCACCTTTTTTCAATTCTGGTGACAAATTGCAAAGCCAATTCAGTACAGCAGATGGAAGTTGTGCATTGCATTATATTTTGAAGCTAAATTCTGAATATTTTTAAACAGAATTAATAAACTCTCTTTCCATTCTGCATCTCTTATCTTTCACTAATCTCTTCCTTTAGGCACAAAGCAGAAACTAGCTGATTATCTGCACCTGTAATTAAGTTTCTCTGATGTGTTTTAATGCCATAAACATGAGTGGTGACATTTTAAAAAACCCAGTGATCCTACCGAAAGCAAATGAATTTATGAAGGGAGCGAAGAAACAACCTGAACCAGATTTTTTCAAACTACTTTAAATGTGAAGATTTTCTGTTTAAATAAACTAAACAGGGTTTAATACTGTATACTTTAATGAAAATAAAGTCTTAGACAAAGGCAGCTTTAAGATACTCTAGCTATACAACCAAAGAAGAAAATGATTGTTTTGGAGATTGGAGGGAGGTTCATTAAATTTTCTACATTATTTGTTTTTCCAATATGTTTCTAATTAAAGGTAAATCATCATCTACTGACAAGAAAAGAGATACCACACTTTGGACTAAGTAAAAAGAAAATTGTAGTTAAAAATGAAAAGGCTCAAAAGTTTGGCAAGTGTAATGAAAGCCTCTTCTAACTGAATGTTTATTTTATAGCATAAGGTGACTAGCGGAAGAATCTAAATTTGGATTTATAAGAAAGGCCTGTGGATCCCCAAAAAACTAATGCATTTAAAAGATACATTTGAAATATACCACTTTTTTGTGCTGCCAATATTTCTGATGAACAGTTCCACCAATTAAAATTATAAAATACATCCTAAATGTTTGAACTGAATTAACTACATGGCATCCTCAGCAAAATCTCTGGCACATGAGATTAACACTATCATCATTTCAGTTTGCAAAATATTAATCCTCTGGTAGAGATAAGGAAAGAATTAACCATAATATTAACAATGTCCTTAACTGTTGCAAACTTGCCTGTACTTGGATTACGCAGTCTTGTAAATAAAGGTCCACCATCAGGTTTCATAGGAAGATCAGTAACAGGCTCTGAAAAGAATTATAAAATTATAAATTGAGAGATCTTTCCCACCCCATCATACTTCACCAACATACCTGTCTGTATTAATTGGATTTACCTTTCAGATACTAGTAATTTCCCCCTGAAAGCCACACAGTATGTCCATTACATCAGAACACAAGAATGGCCATCCTGGACAAGAACAATGGCCACCTAGCCCAGTATCCTGTTTTATGACAGTGGCAAGTGCCAGTGCTTCAGAGAAAATGGACAGAACAGGGCAATTTCCAATCATCCATCCCCCCTGTCATCCACTCCCAGCTTTTGGAAATTGGAGGTTTAGGGACACCCAGAGCGTGGGGTTGCATCCCTAATATATCTTATATATGCTAATATATCCAAATATATTTCTAATATATCTTTTTTGAGATGGGGTGACCAAAACTGTACGTAGTACTGAAGGTGTGGGTGTTCATGGATTTATACAGTGGCGTTATGATATTTTCAGTTTTGTTTTCTATCCCTTTCCTAATGGTTCCTAACATTATGTTAGCTTTTTGTTTTTGTTTTTTTTGGACTGCTGCTGCATACTCAGTGGATGTTTTCAGAGAACTAGCCATAGTGCCACCACAATCTCTTTCTTATGCGGTAACAACTCATTTAGACATCATTGTTTTGTATGTATAGTTGGAATTATGTTTTCAAAAATGCAGTACTTTGCCCTCATCAACACTGAATTTCATTTGCCATTTTGTCACAGTCACACAGTTCTGTGAGATCCCTTTGTAACTCTTCACAGTCAGATTTGGACTTAACGATCTTAAGTAATTTTGTATCATCGGCAAATTTTGCCACCTCACCATTTACCCCCTTTCCCAGATCATTTATAAGTATGTTGAACAGTACTGGTCTCAGCACAGATCCTTTGGGGACCCTCCTATTTACCTCTCTCCATTTATTCCTACCCTTTGAGTATGCCTACACTACCATTAAAAACCCACAGCTGGCCTGTACCAGCTGACTCAGGCTCACGGGGCTTGGATTAAAGGGCTGTTTAATTGTGGTGTAGAGATTCAGGCCTGAGCCTGAACATCTACACCACAATTAAACAGCCCCTTAGTCTGAGTCCTGGGAGCCTGAGTCAGCTGGCACGGACCAGCCATGAGTGTCTAACTGCACTGTAGAGATACCCCTTGATTCCTAGCTTTCAACCAGTTACTGATCCATGAGAGGACCTTCCCTCTTATCCCATGACTGCATACTCTGCTTAAGAGCCTTTGGTGAGGGACCTTGTCAAAGGCTTTCTGAAAGTCCAAGTACACTATATCCAGCACCCTTGTCCATATTTGTTGACACTTTCAAAGAATTCTATTAGATTGGGGAGGCAGCATTTGCCTTTATAAAAGCCAACGCATTGTATTCATCTATGTACTTGATAATTTTTTTCTGACCTACAGATTCAACCAATTTCCTGGTACTCAAGTTAGTCTTACTGGCCTGTAATTGCCAGGATCACCTCTGGGGACTTTGTTAAAAATTGGTGTTCCATTAGCTACCCTCCAGTTATGATACAGAGGCTGATTTAAGTTATAGGTATCTTATCACAGGTAGTAGTTCTGCAATTTCATATCTGAGTTTCTTCAGAACTCTTGGGTGAATACCAACTAGTCCTGTTTAATTTATCCATTTATTCCAAAACCTCCTCTATTGACTTCTCAAGCTGTGAAAGTTCCTCAGATTTGTCACCTAAAATAATAGCTTAGGTGCAAGGATGTCCCTCACATCCAATACAGTGAAGACCAATACAAAGAATTCATTAGCTTCTCCGTAACAGCCTTGTCTTCCTACAGTGCTCCTTTAGCACCTTGATCGTCCAGTGCCCCAATGACTGTTTGGTAGGCTTCTTGCTTTCAATGTACTTAAAAAAATATTGGTTGTTAGTTTTTGTGTCTTTTTCTAGTTGCTCTTCAGATTCTTTCTTGACCTGCCCTAGTTTACACTTGACTTGCCAGAGTTTATGCTCCTTTTTATTTTCCTCACCCGACTTCCAATTTTTGAAGGATGCCTTTTTGCCTTTAACCACCTCTTTTACTCTGCTGTTAAACCATTGTGGCATTTTTTGGATCTCTTACTGTCTTTTATATTATAGTCACTATTACTGAGCAATTCAGTTATATTCACCTGTTGGACCAGATCCTGTGTATCACTTAGGACTAAAACAAGAATTGGCTCTCCCTTTGTGGATTCCAGGACAAGCTGTTCCAACAAGCAGTTATTTATGATGTCTAGAAATTTTATCTGTGTCCCTTCCTGAGGTGACATATACCCAGTCAATATGAGGATAGTTGAAATCCCCCATCATTAATTTATTTTCTGTCTTTGTAGCCCGTCTAATCTCCCTGAGGATTTCACAATCACTATCCCATCCTGGTCAGGGAGCCGGTAGTATATTCCTACTACTTACTATACTCTTATTGTTCAAGCATTGAATTTCTATCCATAGAGATTCTGTGGTACACTTTGATCCATTTAAGCTGTTTACTTTAACTGACTCTAGGCTTTCTTTCACATACAATGCCATGTCCCCACTAGCATGACCTACTCTGTCATTTCTTACATTGACTAGAAGTAATTTTCATTAGAAATCAGTTATGCTTGAAAATCAGGTTGGCATGCAGATGGGGAGAACGTTGCAAGGGTGCTGTCTTGCAGAAATGGATACCAAACCAACTTGGTCTTGAACATTAAGAAACCCCTATTTATGTGGAACACATTCTTTAGTATTCTCTCCTGTATAAGAAATCAGGGTAAGAAAGCATTACTTTTGTGGAAAGGGCATCAGATATAAGAGAAAAAGACCACATTTTACAAACCTTGTGAATGGCATAGAGATCTTTACTTACAAAGGTAACTGGATTGCCTTTTTTTGAGGTTTTCAGTCCCACACTCAGTGAAAAAGATAATGTTGTTGCTAACTTAATGGGCTTTCTTAAAAAGAAATATCAAAGCAGCTTTGTTGTTTCCAGGAAAACTAAGAATTAAAATATGTCTTTTGTCTTAAGGTCTAAGACCCATAATTGGTTAAAAAAATTGGAGAATAAAAGTAAAGGCCAAACCAAAGATGCAGCAAGAGGTCTCTTGTTAAATCCTAAAGGAAGATGGTGGATTATTTGCCACAATATACAAGAATAGATTTTATAAACTCTGCCCCAAGGAGTTTCTTTTATACGAGCAAAAAACAAGTTAGCGAGAGTGTGCAGGGTCTTTTGATTAGAAATTATGCCTTTCAATTAATTATACTGCACCTAGACACTGTACCAAGATAGAGGCAGATAGACAAAACCACTCACCCAGTAAAGGTGGGTGTATTAGCAATAGATAAACTAGACAATTGTTCATCTAGCACAGCATTTAAGAATATGCCATTACAGATTTACACAAATACATAGTGCCTTTATAACCCTAACAAATGAGGTAATTAAGAGGTAAACACAATGTCTTTATGGGGCTGTTTAAATAAATGTCAAAACTGGTTTTATGCAGTATTATTGTAGCTGTGTTAGTCCCAGGATATTAGAGAGACAAGGTGGATGAGGTCATATCACTTATTGCAGTGGCTCTCAACCTTTCCAGACTGCTGTACCCCTTTCAGGAGTCTGATTTGTCTTGCGTACCCCCAAGTTTCACCTCTCTTAAAAACTACTTGCTTACAAAATCAGACATAAATACAAGTGTCACAGCACACTGTTAATGAAAAATTGCTTACTTTCTCATTTTTACCATATAATTATAAATCAACTGGAATATAAATATTGTACTTACATTTCAGTGTATAGTATATAGAGCAGTATAAACAAGTCATTGTCTGTATGAAATTTTAGTTGGTACTGACTTCGCAAGTGCTTTTTATGTAGCCTGTTGTAAAACAAGACAAATATCTAGATAAGTTGATGTACCCCCTTGAAGACCTCTGTGTACCGCCAGGGATACACCTACCCTAGGTTGAGAACCACTGTCTTATTGGACCAACTTCTACTGGTGAGAGAGACAAGCTTTTGAGCTTTTTTTTATTGGTTCAATAAAAGAATATTACCTCATCCACCTTGTCTCTCTAAAATTGGTTTTGGTATATATCATTAAAGATATAGTCTACAGTAATCTATGCAGTATTCATCAAGTAACACCAAACAGTTTTAAAAAAATACTTTGAGATGGACATGTCATTTTCACTGAAGTCTGCAAAGTGAATTTCACAACTTACTCTATCCTGAAGCTGATTTAAGAGAGGCTATAAAAGCTTTGAAAATGTGCAGCACAGCAGGTATGCTAACGGGTAATCCCAGCATCCTTATTTTCTATCCTCATGCATTCCCTCACATGAAAGCCTCTCCCACTTTAACACAGGCCAAGTCTAAAATAATACCAGAACAAACCATTAAAGCTTTTTAAAAGTATCCAGACTTCTTTCACATTTAACGAAAACACTCAGGTCATCTGATGACTTTCACTTGCCCGACTCATTCCTAAAATCTTGGGGGAAACCTTATCACATTTCCTGGAGGTCAGACATACAACCAAATTCCATATATACAATGGTTATTGTTACATGAATAAATTGGAAAGGAACATAAAACCCCACCAAGCTACATGAAGCAATTATGGATGGCCCCAAAATCTATTTTTATAAGCAAATTTTAAAAATGAATACTCTGTTTAACAGTCTGGTATCAAAGGATATGGAATTCTCGGCAAAAAGATGCCATTAAAGTTGGCATTAAAAGAATATTGAGGGCTTTTCTTGAAAAAGAAAGGCTCATTAAAAAGTCTCGAAATACAAAGTTAAGATTTCATTTAAAAACAGATATTAAAACATATGAATTTATCTAGTTTAAAGTCATCTACATAAATTGTATTTTCTTCCATTCCCTGCAGTACTGCAGGCCCACGTAGCCTTTGCACACTGTTTATAACATGGGAACATTTTGATGAAGTCCTTTTGATAGATATTTTAATAAAGGCTTTAAATAAA